TCAGAGGTTTAAACCCAGCGTCCTCCTCAGGCCTCTGTTTCCTTTTATGTCTTTTTACCTTCTTCTGCTGAATCTGCAGATTTAATTCCTCCTTCTTCTTCTTCTACTTACCGACAGCGATCCCCGGAGGTCCGCCGAGCAGCCCGCCCACAAACGCAGATCCTCCCGCCACCATCGCCCCTTTGGTGGAGTTCTTCACGGCGACCTTGATCTCCTCGTGAGCCGATACTTCACAGCACAAACGCATGACGTCGTCCATCCGGGCGGGCATCTCTGTGGACTCCACGTGGGGTCTTTCCTGAAAGGTTCAAAATGAAGATGAGTGTAAGTAGTGATTCCTTACACAGCGACGCACACCTGGGACAGGTGAGCTGCCAGCCTCACAGTCTCACAGGTAAATCTGCTGTTAGCGTGTCGAGCTCCAGCGCAGCGGTCACACAGCTTTAATCGCATTTCTGTGGTTGATGCATCGTTAATGCAACAGTGTGTGAGCTCCGTGAGAGAGGCAGCGGTCACACACGGCGTGTCACAGTAACACACGCGTGTGCGACACGAGGTCACGTGTGTACTGACTCCGTGTCTATCTGCGACCACACAGACCACCCAACCCGAGCCTGCGCTGCTCAGCTCCTTCTCTTCCTTCCGCCTCCACCTTTCCCAGCATCCACCTGTGCCAAATGTGCAGCTGTATGATGACGCATGAATAGAAATAACATGCAGTAGAAATGCAGCACAGACACAAAAGTGGAAGCAGCGCGTCTATTTCTGACCTCAAATCAGGTCTGACCCTGAAATAAAAACCAGTTTCAGTTTTTATCAGCTGCTGACTGTGACGTGAAAAGTGAGATTCAAAGAGCAGAGTGTCTCGTCCACCTTCAGCCTGTTTGCATAAAACTGTCACACACGCACAAAGGACCACAGCTTGGTTTCACTTTTACTTTCCAACAAAGCCTGAAACCAACAGACGGCCTATAGTCATTATAATTACTTATTAATATAATAATTACTCGAATAAACCACATCCACGGCCCTGCTGCGTGGACTGTCAGAGCTCCGGATTCAGGACAGGGCTCCGTGTAGACGCGTCGGGCACAATCACAGCAGTTAGACTTAAATTAGACGGTTTCTGAGCGGAGTTTGGTGGGACGGGCTCGGCAGGGACAGGTGTAGCACACCGGCAAACAAGAAGTAAATACAGAGTCAGGACGTGAACGTCACAGCTGCTCTGTCTGATTCACAGAGTCGGAGAATCTAATCCGGTTGGATTCAACTGCGAACTCGGGACTTTTTACCGACCCCTCAGACTCGTTCCCCTCTGTGTGAGGCTGCAGAGGTTAAAGGTCACACAGCTGATCGGGACACACTCTGCTTACCTTCAGTCCGTCACTGTTCGCAAACTGTAGAAACTCTGCTCATCGACTCTGACAACTTCCGGCTCTGCAGATCAATGAAGGAGGAAACTAACGAGCCTTTTTGATTCTTCTTCGCTGAACACAAACCGGAGAAACGGAGAGAAGATGGTCCGGTGCGCCGATCCGCTCAGGAACTCACGTTAAAACACTCGCGCTCTAATCTCACGCTACTTTTATTTAACGAACGCATGCGCACAAAGTTTGATACGCTCAAAGAGCACATGCGCACTCAACAAGCTGGAGACCGGAGAAACTTAAACCACAATATCAAAACAATCTACAGATTACAGGAATGAACACAGCTGCAGGATGTTGGATGTGAACCGAGGCGACTTTAGTTCTTTTTTCTTTTTAATTAAAGCGACCAATGTGGAGGCTTGGGTGACGTAGCGAGCTGCAGCGACCAATCAGAACTCTCCGTGTAGAAACTTTGTTTGAAGTATATTGTTCATTGTGTTGCTCGTATATTGTGTGTTTTAAATTGTTGTGCACTTCACTCTCTGTCATTCACATTTTACTTTATTAAATATTATGACATGATATTTAATTATCTGCTTGTTTTTCTTATTGTATTCATTCTGTTTAGCTTTTACCTCCTTCGGCTGTTTGTTTGGTCGGATGTTACCGAACCGAACACGTTTCTGTGTTTTGTGTTCGACTTATTTTTTCTTCTTCTGCTGAATCGAAGAAAAATGAAGTAAATCGGACCTCGCTGTCCTCACCTGCAGTACCTGCGGCTGCCACCAGGAGACGCCGCCCCCTTTGTTTTAATAAATATCTGAAGCGTTTGTTTTATTGAAGCTGCGTCCCACACACGCCCCGAGTGGGCTGAATGTTTGTAGCTGTAATAAACATCTGATCCTGCGTCTGAATCCTGTTTGTATTGTTTCCTGTCTGAGAGCAGAGGGACTATTTAACCTCCTCGCGTCCTTCTAATATCACAGTTTCATAAAGAGAAACAGAGCCGGTCCACAGCGAGCTGGAGCCGCCTCCGCATCAATCACTGACATGTTTACATTTATTCTATTTGCATCTTTTACTCACTTTTGTCTCACTGTCCTTGTCACTCTCTCTGTTCCTCATTGTACTACCACAATGTCATCTTTTATGTGATCCCTCTTTTAGTTGACTGTATGTCTAAAATGTGATAAATAAAGTTAAAAAAAATCAATAAAAAAAAAAAATCTATTTGCATCTTTCACGCTTTCTTCCTATTTTTACTTCCTGTTGCGTAACGCTGCCACAAAGACGTTGTTCCTGTTTAAAACCAGCCGCTCCGCGGACGTTACACTCATCCGTGTTTGTGATTGTTGAGCTCCAGCGAGCTGATAACCTGCTTCCGGTGACCTCTGACCCTGACCGCTACGCTGAGGTGTGACCTCAGGCCTGCCGGGGTCTGCCCGGCTGAACTCGGCTCAGTGCGAGGATCGGGGCAGGGGGCGGGGCTTTGTTTGTTTACGTGTGATGCAGTGAGATACGCTCCGCCTGATTGGGTGGATTTTGGTGACGTTTGAGGCGGCGGGGGAGGAGCCTGTGTGAGATAAACAACCTGTGGATGAAAACAAGCACAGAGAGAACCGGAAGCTTCAGAGCAGCGAAAACATCGACTTATCGGAGCAGGTGGGTCTGAATCTTTAGTTACACCCACGCGTGACCTTTGACCTGCACGCGGTTAGTGTTAGAGTCTCTGTTCCGCCGTACCTGAGCACGCGCAGGGGTGCTTGTTCCAGCTGGAGGTACACGGAGTCCTGCCGAGGTCTGTTTCTCACGCACACACACAGGCGCGTGTCTGTTAGTGAGTGCGTGCACGTCTGTTTCTGTAAACATGATGAAGCTGAGGGTCACGTGATGAAGAGCTGCTGTAAATCAGCGGAGCTGCAGTCAACATGTGGACAAACACACACAGGATCAACGGTTTAAGATCTTACAAACTGTGTTGAGCAGTAATGTGGAAACAGGAGGTGAAAGGTCACGACCCGACTTCCTGTCTTTGTGGAACATCATCTGGGTTCAAGCTGCTCAGGTTTCTGAGGCCACGGCGTCACGAGGGAAGCTTTTTACCTGTGATGATCTCACCTGTGTGCTGCTCTTTATCCACAGGTGTGTCAGAAACGTCGGGATGATCGGGAAGATTCTTGCTCAGCTTATCGGGAACGCCAGCGAGGACCTGGCGTCAGCAGGAGAAGAACACGAGGAGCTGCTGGAGTTGGAGGACGAGGGCTGGGTCATCGTTAACCTGCCAGGTGAGAAAGTCAACCTGCTTCAGGTGCACACGCTGTAGCGCCGATGCTTCTAAACATCTCTGATCCTCCTGCAGAGGACGGGCTTCTGTCGGCTCCAGACGACGACCTCCTCGAGAACCTGCTGATCGAACACCCGAGCATGTCCGTGTACCAGATGAGGCGCGGGGTGGGTGGAGCCGAGGAGGAGGAGGAGCCGGGCTCTGATGAAGAGGAAACCTCAAGGTTATGATGCTGACGATGCTTCATTCAGATAATCTGAAACCAGTTTTACAAACACAGAAGACAGCAGGGCAGGTGGGCGGGGTTTATAATGTGGCTTCCTGTGTGTCTCTCCAGGCCTGTGGCGGTAAGGCGGCATGTATCCTGGCGTCTTGCCGCCTGGGGGCTTCCTCTGCCGTACAACATCCAGCTGCCGGCGGCGCAGCGTGCCAGGAGCCGCGCTGAAGGCAGGAAGCTGAGCCGCGGCGCCCTTCACAGGCAGAACCTCACCAAGACGCGCTTCTGCCCTGCAGAGCGGCGCTACGGACACTTCAAGCAGCCCTGCCAGCGTCTCTACAACTACTGACTCCGATATCGGCGCCGCCACTCACCTCACCGTTACATCACGTGACATTCACCACTTCCTGTGCAGTAAAGCCATCAAACAGCTGAAAGAACCACACGTTTTTCATTCTTCTGTAAACTTTATTATCAGCAGGGCGCCGCGCGGCCGAACAGCCGCTGCTCATATTAATGTTGATGATGTCAGAGCTTCGTGCTCGGTCGCTTCGCTCTTCTTCTTCTGCGTGTTAAAGTGTGTGATGAGTTGACCTCTTGACCTTTGCAGCGTTCCTGCTGCTTTTCTACTTTTTATTTGACACAAATGTGAGATTTTAATTTGTTTTTATTTGTGTGTATTTATAAAATGTTTAAAAAAAGCAAAATAAAGTTTTTGAGATTTTCTAACGCTGCGGTCTGCGTGTCTTTATGGTGGGGGCTCGCTCACTGCCGGAGCTTCCGGATTTTCCCCATGAACCTCTTCACCTGCTGCGGGTCCACCTCGTTGGCCCAGTGCCCGCCCAGCTTAAAGTGGGAGCCCACTATCATCGCGTTTGCATCCAGGTAGCTCTCGACATTGTCATAGGTCACTCCTGAGCCAATCAGCACGGGGATTCCCACAGACTGGGAAACGTCTGGAAAAACAGAGAAAAAATCACTTTAATGAATTTCTATTTAAGAACACGTCAGCAGTCGAAAGCTTCTTTTCCCAGCAGCACACGAACGCATCTCAACCCTGCAGACTTACAAACCCTGAGTCCACCTGAGGCTGTGAGGAACGAGGTTTAGAATAAATCTTTTAGATTTAATGTAAACTCTGAATATCACAAAGGAATCTAGTAGATCGCTACTGAACGCACTGCAGGCTGGACTCACACACAGAGAGGCGTCGGGGTGAGGGCTGCTCTGGCGCTACTTCCTGCCTCTCAGTCGATATGTGACCTGATTAGTCTCACCTGTTCCCACTCTGATGACCCTTCTGTTCCCTGACACAGTCCGAGTGTTTTCCTGGCTCCGTGTTGGGACTCTGTCCTGGATTTTGGACCTGGTCTTTGCGTCCTGTCTCTGACACGTTTGCCTCGTTTACTGTCAGCTGTTTGGACCTTGGGTTGAAGCATTGCTAACTAAAACGCAGCCGTTGCTAGCATGCGTGGTTTGTTTATCTCGCCTGGAGCAGCCTCTGCTATATAAACATCATCACTGAGCGCTAACTCCTCGGAGCTCAAAGGTATCATGCATGCTGTGCAGGACGGTGTGTGTGCAAACAGGCTCACTGCATATTCTCTGGCTTCATGATGACTTTGCTCACCTGAGGTGTGCCCTCTCTGACCTGCCAGAGTCTCCTGTCTGTGCGCAGAGGGGTGTGGCAGAATATAAAATAGGCTTCAGACGCCTTCACCACCTGCAGAGCTGCACTCAGTGAACCTCTGTTCGCACGCGTGACCTGGTGAATGTGTCTGAACATGACCAGCACCCGTGTGTGTGTGTGTGTGTGTGTGTGCAGCAGTGGCATGTACAGCACTCAGACTGTTTACAGGGTTGAGTGTCCGGCTGCTATAAATATCCTGGACCCCGGCGCTGCTGCGAGGACGTGGTGCAGAGTTCAGACTCAGTAACCTGAGCTGATGCAAACCTTACTGACTGATCACTGCAGGGTTTATGGTCCTGTGCATGAAGCTGCATGAAGCTGCAGAGCAGCACCTGAACGCTGATTGGTTCAATGTTTTAAACAGGAAATGGAACTACAGATGAGGAAGCACAAAAACATGGCACTCATCAGTAACACCTGAGGGCAGGTGTAGCTCTGGGTTTGTCTCAGTGAATGTCGGTGGAGCCAAGACTTTTATTTCTAAGCTTTCGACAGGAAATTATCTGGTTCTTTTCTACTCTGATCACTTAAAGACACAGAGGGAAAAACGAGTGGATTTATCTCCCACAAACAGCTCAGGTGGGCTTGACCCCCTGCTGTGAGTGTGACATTTAACATTCAGACTGTTTGGGCGCCGGTTTAGCTCAGTGGTCCGACCCGCGGCCCTCTCTGCCTCGGGTTTCCTGTCAGTCTTCACTGTAACTATTTAATAAAGCCAGAGAAAGATTCAGCTTCGAGCTGCTGAACAAACACTTGGCAGCCCTGCTGCTGAGAGAGGAGAGGGGGCCCTCTACTGGACAAACGGGGTAAAAGCAGGAGGACCTGAGGTGAGGGGCTTAAAGAAATGTCTGATATGTTGTGAAATACTGTTCTGAGAATAAAGTGAAGTGTGCATCCACCCACGCAGCACAGCTGATGAAGTCACACCTGAACCCTGCAGAGCCAATCAGCTGTTTCTGTGCTGCATGCAGGTGAATCCTT